ATTACTTTTGGTCCCTTAACAAGTGGGAGGCACATATGCAAACTGTTGTAATTCCTACACCGTTCACCTGATTTGGATGTAAATACCCTCAAATTAAAGCTGACAGTCTGCAGTTAAAGCACATCTTGTTCGTTTCATTTCAAATCCATTGTGGTGGTGTATAGAGCCAAAAATGTTAGAATTGTGTCGATGTCCCAGTATTTATGGACCTGACTGTATATTATATGTACTGAAAGTGAATATTTTGAAAGGCCACCTTCCCATGATTTAGCCAACTACAAGACATAATGGCAAATGCTTCCTCATTAGTTGGCAGCCAGTAGTGCATGGTATACTGTATTGGAGAGCTCACACCTCAGAATTATGACCTAAAATAATGTCCAAAATCCAACACCATTGGAAATGAAACAGAAGAAACGACATTGATAGAGTTTCATATAACATGACTATAATTAATCATTAGTACAGGCTGGGTAGTTTTCTTGACTGAGTCAGTCCTGTGTATTTTCTGTATGCGACTGTGGTTGAGATAAATTGGTTTGTTCTCTACAGGCCCAGTGGTCACAGAAGGGAAGATTCAGGAAGCTAAGCTCTTCTACCAGATGCACTTCAAAGAGGCAGTGTTTGACGAAGAAGGATGGAGGAAAGTCCTTGAGGTGACAAGACAGATTTTTAACCATTAGTTTGCCTAGACAGATTCACAAAGTGACATTCCAAATTCAGGTGTTCCAACTTCCATGGTTACAGATGTATATAATCAAGCACCTAGGCATTCAGACCACTTCTACAAACATTTGTGGAAAAAAATGTCGCTCTCAGGAGCTCAGTGAACTCCAGCGTGGTACTGTGATAGGATGCCACCTGTGCAATTAGTCCAATTGTGCAATTTCCTCACTACTAAATATTCCACAGTCAACTGGTAGTGGTATTATAACAAAGTGGAAGCGATTGGGAATGACAGCAACTCAGCCATGAAGTGGTAGGCCACGTAAAATCACAGAGCGGGGTCAGTGGATGCTAAGACGCATAGTGCACAGAGGTCACCAACTTTCTGCAGAGTCAATAGCTACAGACCTCCAAACTTAATGTGGCCTTCAGATTAGCTCAAGAACAGTGTGTAGAGAGCTTCATGGAATGGGGTTCCATGGTTGAGCAGCTGCATCCAAGCCTTACATCACCAAGTGCAATGCAAAGCCTTGGATACAGTGGTGTAACCACGCCGCCACTGGACTCTAGAGCAGTAGAGACGTGTTCTCTGGAGTGACGAATCATGCTTCTCTGTCTGGCAATCCCATGGACAAGTCTGGGTTTGGCAGTTGCCAGGAGAACGGTACTTGTCTTACTGCATTGTGCCAAGTGTAAAGTTTGGTGGAGGGGGGATTATGATGTGGGGCTGTTTCTCAGGAGCTGAGCTTGGCCCCTTAGTTCCAGTGAAAGGAACTCTTAATGCTTCAGCATACCAAGACATTTTGGACAATTTCATGCTCCCAACTTTGTGGGAACAGTTTTGGGATGGCCCTTTCCTGTTCCAACATGACTGTGCACCAGTGCACAAAGCAAGGTCTATATAGGCATGGATGAGTGAGTTTGGTGTGGAAGAACTTGACTGGCCTGCACAGAATCCTGACCTCAGCCCGATAGAACACCTTTGGGATGAATTAGAGTGGAGACTGCAATCCAGGCCTTCTCATCCAACATCAGTGTCTGACCTCACAAATGCGCTTCTGGAAGAATGGTCAAAAATTCCCATTAACACACTCCTAAACCATGTGGACAGCCTTCCCAGAAGAGCTGAAGTTGTTATAGCTGCAAAGGGTCGGCCGACATCATATTAAACCCAGTGGATTAAGAATCAGTTGTTGCTCAAGTTCATGTGCATGTGAAAGCAGGCGAGCGAATACTTTTGGCAATATAGTGTATGTAACTTTAAGGAAATGTTCTTGTTACTTGTCAGAAACATGATGGCCGTCTTCCTATCCGGATTAAAGCTGTCCCTGAGGGCAGGATTATACCGAGAGGCAACGTTCTCTTCACTGTAGAAAACACAGATCCAAACTTCTACTGGCTCACCAACTACATTGAGGTAAACAGAAATGTCATGTTTAGACCTTTTAAATGATGAATGAAGGAATGACTTAGCAGATCAGCCAGATAACACATACTTACTACATTAAACAGTGCCAGGGGAACAATACCTGCTAAAAATTCAATGTTGTTAATGTCTGTGTTAGTGTCAGTGATTTAACTGGTACAGTATATGACATCTCAGTAATGCTGCTTTTACATTTTGAGAAACTGGGGCCTATTTCAAGAAGGCGGTTTAACAAACTCAGAGTTCAAACCTGAACTCTGAGTTGACTTACTCAGAGTTGGAAAACTCGGAGTTTTCGGTTTCAGAACAGCTGAAAAGAGTTGGTTTAATCAACTCTGAGTTGTTTGACTCAGAGTTAGGCGCGTGCCACGCGACTATAAAAAGCCCTGAACAATGGAGTGAAGAAATTACGAGTCACCATGGCAACAGGACCAAGCCAAAATAGGTCTGCGTTTTTCCCCGACAGAAATGGATGTGCTACTACAAGCATATAGTGACTACGAGCCCATATTTCGTAAAAAACCAAAACAAAAAAAAAAACCAACACGGCTGCAGCAGCGAAAGAGAAAGAGTTAGCTTGGGGGAAAATAGCTGCCCGAGTCAATGCGTAAGTTTACATTTTAATCATACAGTGTTCGGTATAAGTAATTACTAAATAATGTTAGTAATGTTATTATTTGTCACTTGTAAAGTAAGAAATGGTTCTTAATTCTTCAATAATTGAATGAGTAACTTCAGTAATTGCATAAAATACCGATTTTTGTACGAATTAAAAGTGCAGTTTTATGTCTACCCTTTCTTAAAATTCCTATTGTGGTTGATATGGGATTTGTAAAGTAATGATTAATAAATAATCCAGTACGTTTTATGGAGAGTAAGTATTACATTAATCAAAATACTTTTTTAAAATTGACCCAACACTGATGTAATAATATAAGAATTGAATTTTAATTTTCATGTAGGTGCATTGATGGGAATATGTGTGCCATCAATGCATCCAACCACATTAGGAAATCCTGAAGGGGATTCTAATTATTAGTTTATTTCCAGAGGTCACAGCAAGATGTTATTAACTGATCATCATTTGTCAGATTAGCCTTACTGAAACGAATTCAATACCACTAACCTGCAATCCTGTGAAACTCCTCTTTAATGGCTCTGAGGGGTTTGTGCCCAGGAAACACAACAAAAATTCACAGAAAGCGCTTGAGGGTGAGGCACACTTTCCGAACTATTCTACATACAGTGGCCTTACTAATGTGCTCTGCATCCCCGATGTTATAAAGAAAACTACCGTTTGCAACAAATCGTAACGCAACACAAAGCATCTGCTCGGATGTAAGAGCACGGCCACGATGGGTGATGTGTCTGATGTATGGGTGGATAAGATTATTGATATATGTTATGGACTCTCTAGAAAAACGGTACCGCTCAAATAAAAATACATGGGGATATGACAAAAAATAAAAAATAAAAAAATAACTCGTGGCCTCATAATCCTCTCCCGACGTAAATGCAATTCCCTGCGAATCAATACAGAGTCCTCATCTACAGGATCCTCTATGAATGGACATGCCATTTTGGTCTCTGCGTGACAGAAACGTGTGCAATCTATGAATGTACTGAAAGATTAAATGAGGTATTAAACACCTTTCACTTTAAAAAGGGGCGGAGACCCGGAGGGAACTCTGAGTTTCCCGAACAAAACCTGCTCCCAAGCAGGTTAGGTTCACAGAGTAAGTTGCCATAGTAACTGACTCTGAGTTTAGATTACCTCTCTTTGTGAAACGGGTTTAACTTACCCCGCTTTCACGGGTTTAAGTTACCTCCGTTTCTGAAACCGAAAACTCAGAGTTTCCCTCATTTCGGGGTTAACAAACTGAGTTTCAACAAAACCACCTTCTTGAAATAGGCCCCTGGAGTGTCAGCTCTACTGAATGCACTAAAATAGCAGGGGTATGACAATACACTTAGCTCACAAGACTAGACGATACATGATATTGGGTTCACAAAAACGAGAACAGACGATATTTTCAATTCTGTGCAATTTTATTTGTATATCACCAAATCACAATAAGTAATTTTAGTACACTGTACAAAGTAAGGTCTAGGCCTTATTATTATTATTATTGTTATTATTATTTTATTTGTTATAGAGGAAAACCCCAACAAATCCCCCTTGAGCGAGAACTTGGCAACAATGTAAACGAAAAACTCCCTTTAACAGAAGAAACCTCTAACAGAGGTTTTTTGGTGGGAGGCCTTCTGCCTCAACTGGTTGGGGTGAGTGGATAGAGGAGAGAGAAAATCAAACACTGGGCAGGTTAATGTGGTCGGTCACTGCTCATCAGAAACACACAGCTCCAGAGCCAGGGCTACCTGCAGAAAGGTACAGGGCAAAAGAGAGGACACTGTGTAGGAGAGAAGAGGCACTGTAATGGTGGCATGGGGGGGGAGGTGCTCAGTGCATCGTGGGGGTCCCCCAGCAGTCTAGGCTTATTAGCAGCATAACTAAGGGAAGGCTCAGGGTCACCTGAGCCAGCCCTAACTATAAGCTTTATTAAAAAGGAAAGTCTTAAGTCTAATCTTAAAGGTAGAGAGGGTGTCTGCCTCCTGAACTGAGACTGGGAGCTGGTTCCACAGGAGAGGAGCTTGATAGCTAAAGGCTCTGCCTCCCATTCTACTTCTGTAGACTCTAGGAACCACAAGTATACCTGCACTCTGAGATCGAAGTGCTCTGTTGGGATGATAAGGCGCTATGAGGTCTTTATGATACGATGGAGCCTTGCTATTAAGGGCTTTTTATGTTAGGAGAAGAATTTTAAATTCTATTCTGGATTTTACAGGGAGCCAGTGGAGAGAAGTTACTATAGGAGAGATATGATCTCTCTTGCTAGTTCCTGTCTACTTTGGCTGCAGCATTTTGGATTAACTGGAGGCGTTTTAGTGACTTATGTGGGACATCCTAATTGTAAAGAATTACAGTAGTTCAGCCTGGAAGTAACGAATGCATGGAGCAGTTTTTCAGCATCACTTTGAGACAGGATGTTCCTGATTTTTATGATATTGCACAGGTGAAAGATGGCAGTTCTAGAGACTTGGTTTATGTGTGATTTAAAGGACATATCCTGGTCAAAAATGACTTCAAGATTCCTCACAGTAGTGCTGGAAGCCAGAGCTATGTCATCTAAAGTAACTATATAGTTAGACAGCAGATTTCTAACATTTTCAGGTCCAAGTACAGTAACTTCAGTTTTGTCAGAGTTTAGAAGTAAGAAATTACAAGTCATCAAGGCCTTTGTCTTTACGGCATGCTTGAATTTTGACCAACTAATCTGATTTATCTGGGTTCCTAGAAAAATATAGTAGTATATAGTATAGTACAGTGTCATCTGCATAGCAATAGAAATTTATGCCATGTTTCCTGATATTGCCTAAAGGGAGCATGTATAAAGTGAAGAGAATTGGACCTAGCACAGAGCCCTGTGGAATGCTGTGACTAACTTAAGTCTCCATGGAAGATTCATCATAAACATGAACAAATTGAAATCTTTTTGATAAATAAGATTTGAACCAACTTAGCGCAGTTCCTTTAATCCCAATATTATGTTCCAGTCTCTGCAGTAAGATGCTGTGATCAGTGGTGTCAAAAGCAGCACTGAGATCTAAGAGGACAAGTATGGAGACAAGTCCTTTGTCCAAGGCTAGGAGAAAAACATTGGTGACTTTCACCAATGCAGTTTCTGTACTATGATGGACTCTAAATCCTGACTGAAAATCCTCAAACAAATCATTCTTGTGCAAGTGGTCACATAACTGCTTAGCAACAGCTTTTTCAAGGATTTTGGAAATAAATAGGAAATTGGATATTGGTCTATAATTAGCTAGGACACCTGGGTCAAGAGTAGGCTTTTGAGTAAAGTTTTAATTACTGCAACCTTAAAGCCTGTGGAACATAACTTGTTAATAGAGAAAGGTTAATCAGATCTAGAAGTGATCAGGGAGACAGGTAGGAAGGTGCTAGGGTTGACCAACTGATCTGATTCATTTGGGTTCATAGATAAATATAACTGAGTATCATCTGCATAGCAATGGAAATTTATATTGTGCTTCCTCATAATATTGCCTAAAGGGAGCATGTATAAAGTGAAGAGAATTGGACCTAACACAGAGCCCTGTGGAACGCCGTGACTAACTTTAGTTTGTGTGGAAGATTCATCATTAATATGAACAAACTGGAATCTTTCTGATAAATAAGATTTGAACCAACTTAGTGCAGTTCCTTTAATCCCAATAACATGTTCAAGTCTCTGCAGCAAGATGCTGTGATCAGTGGTGTCAAAAGCAGCACTGAGATCTAAGAGGACAAGTATGGAGACAAGTCCTTTGTCTGAGGCTAGGAGGAGATCATTGGTGACTTTCTGTACTATGATAGACTCTAAAACCAGACTGAAAACCCTCAAATAAATCATTCTTGTGCAAATGGTCACATAACTGCTTTGGAACAGCTTTTTCAAGGATTTTAGAAATAAACGGGAGATTGGATATTGGTCTTCTTAGATTTTACCCAGTTCTTTTGTTGAAAGCTTGAGAAGTGAAGATATAAGAGGACTATGTAGAAAAATAGAAATGTATTCAAAGTCTGGTCTCATGTAAGGCAAACAGCGCACGCTGGACCTTGAATGGCGAACCTCCTGTCAGAGATATGTCATCAAAAAGCCTCAAACCCAGTCTGTTGTCCCGTTTTGTTGTCGTGGCCGATACTGCCCTGAACAGAGGTTGGATTTTCTACATGTCCCAATGCGATTGGTCCTTGGCGTGAGCAGGTGTTGACCTGCTCGGGTAAGCTTGTACTGTTCAACCAAGTGTGTTCGTTATGGTTTCAGATGTCCAGTGTGTATGTCTGCAGCTGTAGACATTTGGCTTTATAGGCGATGCAGGACAATACAGACCTGTGAACATGCTAATGCAGCACCAAATGGTTATCACAT